ATAAGCAGTTTATACTTCATTATGCTTTTGTTAAATCTTAATCTAGACATGTTATTCGTTTTCAACTTCCATATAGCAATAATGCATAAAATTGTACTTATGATAAATTGAAAAAGGATAAAGCATGACGTAAATAATGAAAAATTAGATGGCAACAAATCTGCATACAAACATGTAAATGTAGCGGAATTTTCAGCAAAATTGTATATTTCTACTGCTTTAAAGCAGCTGAACCCTACAGAAGCTGACCAAATAAAAACTAGAACTATCCTTCGTTTTAGATGTTTAGACGAGTTTACATAGTGCTTCAAAGGAGAAACAATAGCACGGAATCTATCAAGAGACATTAGAAGCAACAGTTTTGAAGAGCAAATCACCGACGTCGTCACGCAAAATATTTTTATGACACAGAAAATGTTATTGGTTCTTATGTAGGTACTCGCATATTCAAACATATGAATCAAAAGACCAATTGATAACACTATATCTGCTACAGCTAAGTGTCCAATCAGTTGATACAAGAAACCTCTGTAATGCCTTCGATATTTAACAATACTTATCAGAATCAGAGTATTTCCAATAAGCACACTTCCTATTAATAGAGAAACCACAGCGACTCTTAGTATCCAGAATTTGAATTTGAAAATAGAGTATAAAATTCCGCCGCAATCCGAATTTAAAGTCAAATTCATCATTAGATTTTCCGTGATGCAAAACAATAAGAAAATGTCACCAAGTTAAATGTTTACGCTTTTTTAGCGACACAAATGAAACTATTGTTAGTTTATTCGCAGGTCTTTTGTTAAAACTAAATACGTTGTATATTTTTCTATATTCCTTGAAAACTATTATAATGTAACAAAAAATCTGTCATCTTACGTTCGATGTCGTCTGGTTACATTTAACAATGACAGAAACATGTGATGTGAGAATGAAAATTTATTACCGATGATCACCAAACACTAACTATGGATTGATACTCAGTGAGATTAAGCGTTGTCATTAGATACAAATTGTATCATCCTAATGACAATATAAAACATTTTTGCTAAAATCAATTTATTCTGATGTCCATTTGTACTGAATCTGCCATACTAAAAAAACTAAATAAACTACATTCCTGTAATGTTGTATCTAAAAGAATTTACCGTAAAATGTATAAAATATGGTGACGAATTTACAAGTAATATTTCGGATTATATTTGCTTTGAGACTAGGCGGGAAGGTGCAAACTTCTTGAGCCAGCATCGTTTTCCTAGGATGTTTGTTGACATTGTAGACAATCTGTGAGGGGCTAGTTAGGGATTGTGAACCATCACATATATTGTATACAATATATTTAGAATAAATACATTGTATACAATATATTTAGAATATATGGAATATAAAAGACTGAAAACTAACTCTTGATAATAATGATTTTTAGTGGGAGACAAAAATTTGCATTTCTTTGTTTTGAATTTTTCATTCATTATTCTGTAAATGTATTAAAATGAATACGCTTGGCAGTCACAGGAACAAATCTTTTCTCATTATAAAGTATTAAATGGTGGTTTTCTAATTAGGCCCACGTGAGGGTTAAGATTTTACATTAGTTGTCACAGTGAACTCTGGAAACGTTAAAGAACATGTCAAATGAATCACTTAGACTTGTTTTAATCATACAATGTCCACAATGTCAGTGTCCAGTGTTTTTTTAAGTCACATAACTGGTTTTAAAACTACTCGGTGATTCTGTCGGCTTCTAAATTTCATTCAACATATATAGATATATTTACGCTTCAAACCAAAAATATTTAGAATTTAATACAGAAAATCATGCTGGGATTTAAAAAAAAATAATATTTTAGCGTATTAGTATTTTAGAGTTGATAAGATCATTTTAATATTTTTGTCATTTTTGTCATCAATTTGCCTGAGTATCCTTATATGACTCTCGATTGTTTGATCAGAATTGTTCACATTTCTCATTTTTGCGCCGTGCTTACATGCTGACTTAAATACGTATAGAACAGAATTTATGTAACCGTTGGAATAATTTATATTAACTGTTACTTTGATGATTTGTATCTGTAAAGTGCAGTCAGCTTAAGACCCGCATACTGATTGAGTCTAGGTATAATATTTTGTCATTACTCAATTACAAATGAGATTCATAAAATTGAGTTTTAAAATGCTATAAAAATATTATATAAGGATAAGACAAAATATTCTGTTGGTTTTTTTTTTTTTTTTTTTTTTTTTTTTTTTTTTTTTTTTTTTTTTTTTTGGATTAAAAATCAATATAAGACTTAAAATATAACTGTAAAGTCCCAAAACTTCTTTCATTTTGAATAAAAACCGCTGTTTATCCTTTAGGACATTACGACTAATTGGAAAGACAAAATAGAGTAGATTTGTTACAGCAGCCCTTTAATAAATTGTAAAAAAAAAATCGGCTAACCGTTATAAATTTAATGATGACATATCAAAACAGAATCACTCGGAATTTGAAAAGACCAAAATGAGAGATTATCTCATTAAGGTTTTTCGTCAAAAAACGCAATTGACAAATGATCCTAGTCGTTATTAAATCATCGGTTAAACTCTGAAAAAACAACAACAAACATCCCTCGAAGAGAATTACAGTGAAATGAAATTATAGACTATTTGACTCCGTCTGTTCACGAGAGACATATAAAACATTGATATCAAAAACACCGCTAGGCACAAGTTTAGTTGTTTTCATTTAATATTTACTGATAAATGTAATGAAATGAATAATCAAAGCTGTCAAGAACAACGTTTTAGCCTACCCTTTACTGTAATTGTTAACTTGTTTGTTTGTTGTCCCAGATGACTGTCGTCAAGGTTGTCTATCTACCCTAGTATGGACTGAGTAAAAACAAAGGATACTCTTACGTCAAAGTTGGCTGTAAGGAATGACCTTCTGATTAAAATAAATCCTGTGCTGTACCCCTACACAACCCCTCCACCTGTTATTATAATGATTATGTTATTGTTTCTTGTTTATAGTGTGGCGAAAAAATAGCATTAATAAATAAAGTGTTCGTGCATTTATTTTCAAAAAATTTTATTTGGCAAGAACTTAAATGTCAAATGATTAAGATTATATGCAAATCCGTTCTTTAATCATTATTAACCTAAGAGCGATAGAGGAATGGCAAGCAAATATTGACGCATTATCATGGAATTGTTACAGCATGTTTATGTCTTTGTTCCAGGAAATAATCACTTTATAAATCGTAACTCTTATAATAAAAATGTTATGAGGATGGTAACATTGCAAACTAAATATCAAGTCATAAAGGTTTTGATAAAGCACTATGTTTACAAGTAATACTTTTCAGATTAGAATGCATTTGGAAAGGGCAGCTTTAAATCTATTTTTTGTTTTTGTTTTACTCAGTTATGTCCTTTATCGTTTTTGATTAATTATTTCGTTTTTACTTATACATGTATGTTAAATTAACGATTAATAATTAGGTTAAACTTGTGTTAATATATTTTGTGATATCCAAAGCCCAAGCTAGATGAAAGTAACTCCGATTTTGACTTATTGCATAACAGATACTTGTAGATATCGTACGAAATTGCATGATCATACTACTGTGTGAGGTCGTAATGGATATTAAAACAATACGATTTTAATTAAAATGCACGTTCATCTCTTTGATTGGTGTTATTTGGCGAGCGCCCTTTTACCGTTAGAAGCGGCCTATTGCCGTAAGGTCAGCCATTTAGTCATGTCTAGGAATTTGTCTGTGTGTTATTTGGGCAATGTTGCAAAACATTTAACCTGCTAGCCGATGCATCTTAGTGACCAGTTGATAGTTGAGTAAACAATATTTTAATAGTACGTGTATGCCAATCATTATCGCTTTATTGCCGCGTTGTCTTTGCTTTATAAAGACGAAAGACAAGTTAATCCCTCTGTTATTCCAGACCGATGTTTAGCTCAGACTTTCATGGAGGGCACTTAAATATATATATTGTTGTATTAATTTTTAATTTCGTTAGCTTAACAATCATGCAAAATAATTAATTTAAAACTTGTTTCGCCTTTCCTTCAGTTATTAAGATGATAACCATTTCAGTAAAAACATAAGGAGTTATCGGTACACATGATGATTGTGTGTATTTTGGAAGGCATTTGCTGATGCAACAAAATTTAGCAAAACATGAATTTAAAGGTCGCAAATATGCTCTTCTAAATGCTTTTTAAGGAAATGTCAGCTGTTCTACTTGGGAACCTGCACAGCAGTACTGGTATGTGACAGTTTGGTCACAAAAATACCTATTACATAAGTTTAATTACTTAAAATAACAACAAACAAAAAAAACCATTCAAAAGGAACAATTGAATTGAAGATGATATATAATGTATGAAGAAACTGAACTGAAACTTATACGGGTGTATAAATTCGTTTGTTTTGCTGCTTAAATGTGCTAACATATATTTATTTTGGGCAAACTACAGAAAGAAATGTCAAGAACATTGCTTGTGTTTCCTATTTAACTACATTCAAGTTAAGTTATTGTTTCACGTGTATGGCTAGACTTTAAAGCTTGCTCTTCCTTGTCGTTTTGAATTGAGTATTTCTCTGAACTTGCCGCTCTAAAATGACCAAACGAGAATAGTTCCTGCCCGTTCTAACATAATAAGATTGATTTAAATGCGGTTCTTAGTTTTATGTTAGCACAACCATAGATAACCCAGTTCATTGCAGAATTAAACAGACCCGGTGCAATTGTATATTCACGGACTGACGCATATCTTTCCTTCTCTTCACTAATTGTCACTAATATTGAAGTCACAACAAATGGTATCCAACATATAACAAAAAGAACATATCCTTTTATTAAATGTCCACATTTTATCATGCTCTTTTTACATTTTTGCCTTGACAATGTATTTGTTTTAAGTTTCCGCATGACAATTAAACACATGATAACGTTAATGGTAAACTGCAGCAGTATAAACACAGATGCACACATACCCATACCGTCAGGTATCATTTTACCAAAGTTGCAATCTTCTAAAACCTTAGATGATCTCAAATTTACAAATGCAGGTATCAAGACAAACAATACTGATATAATCCATACGATTGCTATATGTATTGTTCTACATCTTGACTTTTGTGAATGAGTAAGGTGTTTCATTGGAAACATTATTGCACAAAATCTGTCAAAAGATATAAAGATAAGAAGTTTTCCTGATGTACCAAGTGATACACCTGTCACAATCACTTTAACCACACAGAAAAACGTGTTTATTTCAAGCGACAAAAATATAGTTCCTAAAACTTCAAGTGAAAGCCCTATAGCCAATAGAAGATCTGCTACGGCCAGATTTCCCATCAAAATGAATGGGGTCCCTTTCAAATACTTTGAAAACTTCTTCAGACTAACGAGGATTAGCGTATTTCCCAAGTAGGTAGTTGACGCTAACGTAATCAAAATGAAAGTGCGTGTTACTCTTAATTTCCTTGACTGAACGTCATTTTCACTTCCAACTGCCAACGATTCCGTAGTGTTATTCATGGTGCAATAAATAGAATTTGCTCGTTTGCTTTGAAATGTCCAGTTATTGTGTTTTCCCCGTTATCTTTAATTCATCATATCATCTGTTAAATTCCTGTTTTAAAAAAGTGTTGGTTTTATCATAACGCTGATAAGTTTTAGCCTTTAATTTTTTCAAATATCCACAAATGTCCTATATCTTCTGCCGATTGGCCTAGCTCTGATTAAAAAACTGCTTAGCAGAAACATTTATTCATAATTCATGAATGATTGATAGATAGATTGCGAGGCGGCTGCAATCAGTGGATTAATAGTTCCAAGCCAGCTTTTATCTGATAATCGATGAGTATTTTGTTGTTTGAAATATGTTCAATACTGACAACTGTCTCCATTACAAACATTTCGAAATGATGCATCCACTAAGTTTTCTGACGTGAACTTATCCGTTTCAATAAACAAAGAATGTCATCTGACAAAATAAATGTATCCCATTTGTAAATATCAGCGTCCGATACTTAAATCTGTGCAAAAATATGATACATTACGAAATGAGTCGTATTATGAACATTTTTTTCTTCTTTCATATTTAAACATTTGCAATGTTTAATATATATCCACATGCATGCATTCAGCAGTTTTCAATGTATAAAGTAAAAAGTGACAAACATATTCATACTTTAGAAATGCCAACAGGCTCATACGATTTTCCCGTCAATATTAATGTTTGTTTTACCTTGACAATGCTTTTTCATTCCATATTGTCAGAGGATATGACGCATGTAACCGAACGAGACCAAATAGTAAATAATTACCAGACAAAAATATGTTTGTAACAATTAATGAACGAAACGTGTTCACAGGGAAATGTTGTCCTGAATTGATGTTCTATTGTAATCGTGATTTTGTCCGAATTACATCAGAAATATTGATAATCGACATTGTACGATGCAGCTATTGAATGTGCAATTTAATATCCAATTATTCTTCAGGAAAAAAAGTCATATACTGCATTATTTTTTATTAAAGACTGGTCGATTATGTGTGTTTATTAATTAACTTTTCAATATTAAGCACGCATATTAAGCAATATTAAGCACGCTTTCATTCAAATGTAAGGGTTATATAAGTTCACCACCAATAGCAAAGCCATTATGAAAACACTTAATTATTAACATTAGAGTAAACTTTTCTCAGCAAATAATGTATGTCGTTTTTGTGTGTGTGTCACTGAACGCTTCCGTACACATGTTTTCATGTGTAATTTGTTTGTGTTGTAATTTTAAGGTACATTCTGTTACATCCAAAACAAAATATATAGTATTTCTCTAAGATGTATTTAAATGGCGAGTAGCTTCGCGCCCTCATGATCAATGACGGCATGTCCTTTTATCAAATATTCACATTTTAGCAAGCTTTTAATACATTTTTGTCTCGACAATGTGTTTTTTCTAAGTCTCCATATAACTATTAAACACAAGATAACATTGATGACAAACTGTAGCAGTATGAACACAGCCGCAAAAAGACTCATCCCCATTGGTAAAACCCTATCAAAATGACAATCTTCTTTAACAATCGATGATTTCAAATTCATAAATGCAGGTATTAAAGCTGTCAACATTGAACCAATCCATACAACCGCGATATGTATTCTCTTACAATTTGACCTTCGAGAAAAAGTTAAATGTTTGAAACAAGATTGCATAAAATCTGTCAAAAGATATATAGATAAGAAGCTTTCCTGATGTTGCTAACGATACACCTACCACAATAACTTTAAAAACACAGAAGTAAGTGTTTATTTCTAGCGACATAAATATAGTTCCTACAATTTCTAGAGTAATTCCAACAGCTAAAAGAACATCTGCTACGGCCACGTTTCCTAATAATATAAATTGAGTTCCTTTCAAAAAGTTAGAAAACTTCTTCAAACAAAAGTTGATGCCAATGTTATCAAAATGAACGTACGTGTTAAAGCCCTTGGACGAACATTAAAATCAAAGCTCATTGTCAATGACTCCGTAATATTATTCATTTTAAGTCGTTATTATAGGTTTTAAGTGAATTAAAAGTGAATTTTATCTGAATTAACAACAGCCGCAAGTATTCCTCACCAAAGTCAAACTACTGAATAATAACCAATGCTATTATGTTATCATTGTTAGATATTATCCTTCAGTTGTTTTTGCTCCCCCTTTTTTTGTTATTTATTTATTTTTCAATTGTCCGCAAGTTAAATGTAACAGCATCGTCTGACGTTTGACCTATAACTTTATTAACATACCGCTTGACATGAACATCCATTCAGAAAGTAATTAATTGATTGGTATGTGTGTTTAGTATATAAATACGCAGTTATAAGTCCTATGCGGCATGTATAATTGACATATAATTGACATAATGTAATGACAATGGATATTAATCTGAACATCAAACAAGGTTAGCACTTTAATGACTTTTATGCAAGGGGGATAACTAGGAACATTGTTTGACAAATAGTTGTATGATAAATAATTAACAAGTTCGTTATTCTGATAAAGTAAACATAAGCAATGTTAGATGAAAGAAAACAAGTGCCTTCAGTATATTTATATTTTTGTCGTTTATGAACATTGATTCCAATACTTTATTCTGTTGAAGAATGACCTTTTCTCATACCGGTACATAGGGACATGACGGAACAATTTTGTTTTCATTTCCCCCATTATGATTTTTTCAACATGTTTAACGATAAAAAAAACATCAATAATATTATATGTTTTTTTATTTTTCTCTTCGGACATTTTGCTCTACTGGCACTGAAATAACGTGCATGCTAAGTACCTTACCATATGCATGTTCTTTAAAATAATAAGGCATGACTAAAACTGATGTTACATCCCAATAAGAAACTGAGTAAACATCTTCATGCATTCCACATTAACGGTTTTCATTTTTTTGTGTTTTATGTCTTTATGAAATTTAATTCAACAATTTGACATTTTTTTGTTTAATTTCTTTATGAAATTGGCTAATAGCCGCACAATCTGGTAGTTATTTATATCAGAAAGAAAGATTGTAATATTTTGTCACGTTCATGGAGAGATTTTAACTAATTTACTCATACAAGATAAAATGTTGTACACAAATTAATAACATATTTAATTTTCAATTCAATATTTTATTGAGCACATGAACATATTAAAATGTTCTTTCCCCACAAGTATAAACATGTAAGTCGGTGACATGTATTACAATGAGAAGAGCATCATTATGTTATTACAATTAACTATGGAAATAAAGAACTTAATATTCACATGTATACAAAGCAGAAAAATGTAAATACAGTTTATAAAAACATCCAATTTTAAAAAATATACTTCTTTTTCAAAAATCGGCAATGTGAAAGAGTCCTAGCAAATGTGATGGAGCCAAAACAAACATTTAATAAGTGTCGATATTGTAGAATATTGGCGATTCATATTATTGCATGAGTAAATAAAGACTTACAGTCATGACTTATATCACAGATCAGTTTAATAAAGAAATGTCATTAATGCTATTACCATTATAATAACGTTACGTTTGTAAATATCATTGTACAATAAATGATGTACAATTAATGTACAAATCTTAATAAAGTATCTGTTCTGTTCTGTTCTGTTCTGTAATAAAGATGTGTGTTTCAATGAAAAGTCAAAACAAATTAAAATGATTAGGTGCCTTATTCATAAAGAATCTTTAAGTTTTCTTAAATACCACCCAAGGTGATTTCTTAGGGAAGAAAAATCTTAAGAGAAAAAAATTCATTAAATTTTGCTGAATCTTACTATGTGTTAAAATGTATTTTATATTTCACCGTTTTGGGGGTATTCTCATTATTAGTATTATACACAATTTTGAAAAGGATCCGCCTTTTTGGCTAAAATTCCGTAACAATTCGTCTGTGAAAAACAGGAAAATATGCTTGTGCATATCGGGTCCTGTGTCAGATGTCTAACCCTATCAGTGAGTCAATTGTCCTAAACCTCCTATAGCTATTTCTTTTAGAATTTACATACCTTATGATCGCGACTGCCGTTTAAAATGTTTCTCTTCAAAATGTAGGAACGTAAATACAAAGATTGGTCAAATCAGTGACCGTTATAATGTAAAGAAAATACAATACAAAGTCCTTATCTATTATTCTTAGATAACAATTGATTAAATGCAAAAATAATAATCTACTGTCTTTGTTTTGTTAAAATTGCCGTTCAAAAGAAAACGTCAATAAAGTTGATTAACCGAAAGTTAAATGGAATCTGACTGCAGTTGATATTTATATGAAATCTGAGAAAAAGGTTCACAAAAAGGTTCGAAAAATGTTCAACTGTACGTTTTGGTTGGTGGACCATGTTCGACGTTCAAATACATATAATGTTTAAAAAAATGACTAGTACCATAGAATGGCCATATGTTTGTAGCTTTTGATGAAACATATTTTTTTTGTTAAATCAGTTTGTTTACTAAGCTTCAGCAGCGATTGCTATTGACAACGGAAGTTATACAAACCATAATGCAGTAGCAAACAACAACACCTGTCAAAGTTTATCCAGTAAAATTACAATAAATGCAACTTTCTAGCTAAATGTAAGCTGTTTACAAGAAAATATGTAAATAATTAATGAAATTTATCATAAATCTTTATAATTCTGACATTATTTATTGTTGTCAGTCCCTCAAAAGCGTTTAGCGGTACATGCAAAATGTAAATAATGCCGGTAATTACGTACCAATATCGGCACTTATTGAATGGTTTACTTTGGCTCTGTCACATTAGCTAGGGCTCTTTCACATTGCCGATGGCGCGAGCACCTTGTCATTGGCTCGGTCACATTTGAATAAATGTATTTTTGGTATTTTTTTCTGAGCTCTTTGAGATATTTTTTGTGTCGAGCCAAAGGTGAGGTAGGCACAATGTTACATGTAAGATAATGTGGGTCAACATTAACTTTATGGCAGATGTGACTCCTCACGAAAGAAAACACAGGAGTTTATATTTG